TTCCATATCACAGAATGATATGGCCAAAACCAAAATCTTTGTAACAGTCCAACTGGTATGTTTGGTGAAACCTCTGGTGATTAGATCCAGTCAAACGTAATCACAGATTTAATTCTGCCAGTGAAATCAACAGAACTGTCAACTGGTGAACTTTGGAGGATTCTCTCCTATGTTTTTGCCTTACATCTACGAGTTGTTCTTATATGTGGTAGCAGGTTATGCTGCACTACAATGGATGTAGGTCAACTACTATCATTTAAAAGAGTGTTAGCCTCCAGAGTGATGGCTAGCTGTAGGCCCACTGCCTCCTCGCTGGATCCTTGCCCAGCATGGCTGATCAGAGCCATGAAAGGGGTTATGATTGTTTGATTCATGAATATTATTAATTCATCACTGAGGGAGCAAATGCTTCTCTCCCACTTAAAGAAACCATTGTCCGACTCATCATCAAATGGGGCAGTTAGCATCGGGCAACCTTAACAATTTCCGTCTGATTGCTAACATACTACTATTCCTGGGCAAGGTGATTGAGAGGGTGGTGGCCAATCAGTTGCAGTCATACCTGGAGGACCCAGGTACATGGAGAATTTGGGCCATGACGGGGTACTGAGATGACATTGGTCGCGCTGCAGGATGACCTTTTTAAAGTGAAGCTGACAGGGACAGATGCACCCTGGTACTCCTAGATCTCTCAGTGGCTTTTGATACCATCAACCACTGTATCCTCCTGGAAGAGGCTCTCTGGGATTGGGGGCTTAGCATTGAGCTGGTTCTGATCCTTCCTCGAGGACCATGTCCAGAGAATTCAGCTAGGGGAGGAGATGTCAGCACCTTGGACCCTTTGGTGTGGGGTTCTTCAGGGATTGGCACTATTCCCAATGCTGTTTAATATCTATGTTAAGCCATTGAGGGAGGTCATCAAGAGTTTTGGAGTAAGGTGTCATCATGAAAACATAAGAACACAAGAAGAACCCTGCTGAATCAGGCAAAGGGCCTATCTAGTCCAACTTCCTGTATCTTACAGTGGCCCCACCACATGCCTCTGGGAGCACAGAAAACAACTAGACACCTGTCTCCTGATACCTCTCCCCTGCATCCGGCATTCTGAGGTGCATCAGTATGCTGACGACATGCAACTCTATCTCTCCATTACCACCAGCATTCTGAGGTGCATCAGTATGCTGATGACATGCAACTCTATCTCTCCATTACCACCTCTGCAGTGGATGTGTCTGGATGCTGGAGCGTTGCCTGGTTGCAGTACTGGAATGGACCAGGGCTAAAAGCTTAAACTGAACATGGACAAAACAGAGATTTTGCTCCTGAGAGGGACCTCCGATAGGTTGGGGGGGGATGGTCCCTAGGCTGGATGGTACTCCCCTCCAGTTTAGAGACCGTGTAATCTGAGCATTCCTCTGGACCCGGATCTCTCTTGGGAGTCCCAGATCGCAGCCATGTCCATATCAGCCTTTAACCAGCTTAGGCTAATTGCCCAACTTTACCTCTACCTAGACAAGGACTCCATCAGGTCTTTGGTGAAGGCCCTGGTCATCTCCTTTATCAACTACTGCAATATCCTCCACATGGGGCTCCCCTCTTGAACCTGATCCGGAGAGTTCAGTGGGTCAAGAATGCTGCAGCCATACTGGTGGTTGGTACAAGTAAATTTGACCACATCACTCCAGTTCTGGCTCGGCTGCACTGGTTGCCCATGGCATCCTGGATCAGGTTCAAGGTTTTGACACATACAAAGCCCTCCAAGGTCTGGGCCCATGTTACTTGTCAGAGTGTCTCTCCTTAATGTCATCTGCCTGACCCACAAGGTCATCCCAGTTGAGGTTCCTCCAGGTGGCCACCCTGGGGGAGGCCCATAAATCCTCTACAAAAGGTAAGCCCTTCTTGGCGGTGGCTCCAACTTTATGGAACCAGCTTCTGGAGGAGCTCCGCCCAGTCCCCTCCCTGCAGACTTTTAGGAAGCAATTAAAGACATTGCTTTTCAGGGAGGTTCAGCTGACCATCTTCCTTCCCTTTTTTCTCTCTCTCTCCTCCTCTTCTTCCCTCCCCTCTTTTCATCCATCCACTCGGAGATTAGTCAGTGCCATCTGTTTTTTTAGGGTTATTGTTTTAATATTTCTATTTTCATTTTTGTTTTCTATTTTATGAGTTGTAACCCTCCCAGAGTAGTGCTGTGACACTAATGAGAGTGGGATACAAATGAATGAATGAATGAATGAATGAATGAATGAATGAATGAATGAATATTGAAGGAGCTAGAAATATAAGCTGCTGAATCTAGGCCTGCTTGTGAATTAGCTGTGTGTGCTCACCCCCCAAATTTGGGGACTCCCTTGCTCCAGTAACAGCTCACAATGCAAATGTTGTTACCATGCTTTACTAAAAGGAAAACCACTCCCCTGGATTACTCAAGTGACTATGTGTGCAGGTTCATTTTTAAGAATTCCCCAAATCATCAGCCAGAACAAAATGCAGATAAGTTACAAACTGGGATCTGTGACAGAAAACACATCTGGGACCAGGCAGTTATCTCTAAAGCCCTAAATGGCTTCAGCCCTAGCTACCTGAGCTGCCTTTTTCTTCATTAGAACATTGGATCCTTTCATTCATCATAAAGGCCCTCCTCTGGTTTCCCCTGGTATCTAAGGTGGTGACAAGGAAGATTTTCTCCTTATTTGTGACCTCTTGTACTTGAAATTTCTTCTCCACAAAAGCTTTCCTGACATCAGTCTTGATAAATTTTGGACATCAACCTGAGACTTCATTATTCCCTTCTGATGTGTTTTCTTAGCTGTATACTCTACTGATAATATAACTGTGCTAATTTTTATGGTTGATGCAACTATGCTTTTATTATTCCCTGTAGAGTTCCTATTATATGCCTTCTTATTACAGGCTGCAGAGGAGACTTGCTCCTCACCTCTGGAACAACCTTCCTCCAGCGATTCGTGCAGCCCCTACACTGGGCACATTTAAGAACCAGCTAAAAACATGGTTATATGTTCAGGCCTTCCCTCCTGTCAATACTTAATTTCCTTTCTCTTTCTATCTATTTGTTTTATTATATGTGGTGTTGTTTACTTATAATAATTTTTATGCTTTATTGTATATTTTTTATGGAAGCCGCTCAGAGTGGTCAATTGACCAGATGAGCGGGATATAAATCAAATTAATAATAATAATAATAATAATAATAATAATAATAATAATAATAATAATAATAATAATAATAATAATAATAATAATAATAATAATAATAATAATAATAATAATAATATAATTGTGCAGCTTGATCAAGGCCACACAGGCTGGCTGTTTTGGGAGGCACAATGAGGAACTGAATTCCCAACCTCTGGCTCCAGAGCTGGATGGCTGATTCACTGAGCTGTCCAGCAGCTAAAGTTAGATTAAATATGTAATACATGATTTGTCGGCATCAAAGATTTTCTGAAATCTAAATTATAAATCCTAAAGTAAAACCTTGAAATACATACTAAAATGGGAAATATTAAATAATGTTCTGAACTATGTTTATTTGCATATATATGGGGGCTTTAAAAAGAAATAACATGAGATGATAGTGTGAGCATATTAAAATTCAACAATCAAATTAATATGGTGAGGAATTTAATTATTTGTGGTGATGATTATATGCCTCATAAAGAATACCAACTACAATCTTTGTAAATATGAAGAGCCTATGAAAATATCGCAAACAGAATTATTTTGTGAGATAATGCAAATGTCTTTCTAGGAAATGACTGAAGTGCTTTTATTACTCATCTGCTATGAATTTCTTGGGCTCTTTGGGCAATTTCACCAAAACACAAGTAGGTATTTTAAAAAAGTTTATAAATCCTCTCTGCCCTGGACTACAGAGCAAGATGACTGCTTCAGTCTCTTACGCCAATATTTGTTTTGATAAAAATTAAGGTGCCTTCCTTCTGGACACAGAAAAGACATGCAAGTTTTCAGGCATATGCACAGTAATCACAAGAAAGAAAAAGATTATATTTAAGGTCACTGCTCACTGCAGAAGAATAAAGAATAAACTAACAATGAGGAAAACGACAATTGAATGAGGAAAACGACAATTATGGCATAATATCAGAAGGACAAGTGAAGCCAAAATACCATATCTATACAACAATTAGATGATAGGAGTGATATTAAAATGTCATATTATTATAAATAAAATAAAATAAATAAAATAAAAAATAAAATGTCATTATCAGATACTACACACGGAGTGAGCAACAGGGCACCAGGTGGCAGAATTGAAGGGTTCTCATCTGTACACAACGTATTTCATATTTTACCAGCACTGAAACAAAAGTCTTAAAGGAAACAGAAAGTGTACCTTCTTTGAGTATTAGATAGATGCCAAAGCATTATACAGTAGAGAAGTCAAGTGTAAATGGCCAAAATCCTGTGGCATAAGTACACTTGTTTACTGTCAAAAGCTAGGCTTTCACAACAGGATTTCAATCACATAGTAGATTGTCTGCATGATTTATAATAAGTTTCCCCGAAAATAAGGCAGGGTCTTATATTAATTTTTGCTCCAAAAATGCATTAGGGCTTATTTCCAGGGGATTTTTTTTTCATATACAACAATCTACATTTATTCAAATACAGTCCTGTCATCTTCTTCTGGTTGCTGCACAATGGTGGAGGGCGGGGTTTTACTTAACTGGGGCTTATTTTTGGAGTAGGGCTTATATTCTGAGCATCCTGAAAAAAAATCATACTAGGGCTTATTTTCAGGTTAGGTCTTATTTTAGGGAAAATAGGTTAGTATTTATACTATTTCTGTGTATCTTTAAAATAATAGTTAAATGAAATTAATTTTAAATCGTCAAATAAATAGAAAAATGTGGTTTTCTAGAGCCACTCTCTTGGTGTAAAAATGTCACCCATTTCTCTGTCTTTTCCATGCAAACATCAAGGAGGAGCTTAAAAGTTAATTTTAAACAATCACATACCTGTTTAGGTCCCATACTTTGCTAGTTTTATCCATAGAGGCTGAAGCGACAAAATCTCCACATGAATGCCAAGAGCAGTCCCATGCTGCACAGCTGTGCCCTGCTAAAGTCAGGATGCATCCACCCTTTGTGAAGTCCCATATGCGGACTGTTGTGTCTCCACTTGAAGTGACCAATTTTGTTCCACTGTTGTCAAAAAGAAAGAAAGAAAGAAAGATGGTAAAACAGATTTCAGCTAAACTTCCCAAACCTGCATGATCAAAGTTTTTATTTTTAATTTCTTAAAACAACAACACTATTGTAGTGTTATAAAAATCATATTCTTTGCAATTCCCATTATTACCACTTTTAGTCAATCATTCAGTTTTCATATTTTTTTGAAAATGAGGCAAAGGTTTATACTAAAATAGTCTTTATCGTTTGTGATTATGTTTCATAATAATTCTTAACATTTGTATAGTACATTCAAGTGTTCCAATAAACATTGTTACTGTGGGTCTTACAACTGCCCTATAAAGTGAGATCAAGAAGCATTACTCCCATACTGCAAAAAGATCCTGAAGATTAGAGGCCATAGTTGTGCATGACTAGTTACTGGATTTATGACAGAGATGTTGAGATATGCAAACAGAGGACTTCAAGATTTGCTACTCAGGGTATCACATGGTTATAAGTGTTAATTCTTTAAATGCTTGGAAGATAATAGCACCAGCTTTCTCACCTCCCTATCCTTCAAATTTCCTTGCTTTGTTTAGTAACTGGGAGATAAGACTGGAGCGTTCTTCTGCAAGTTTGATTTCCCAAGCATGAAACTAGGTGGAATTCCTATGAAGTGCTAAACATGTATTACCTGTAGCACTTGATTTGACCTCAATTTCATGCTCATGCAGAAGAGATTTGGGCAGGTAGAGAGATGCTTTCAGGCTCATTGTGCGTCCAGTTACACTGACTCTAGATCAGTGGTCCCCAACCTTGGGCCTCCAGATGTTCTTGGACTTCATCTCCCAGAAATCCTGGCCAGCAGGGATGGTGGTGAAGGCTTCTGGGAGTTGCAGTCCAAGAACATCTGGAGGCCCAAGGTTGGGGACCACTGCTTTAGATCATATCCTAGGTCAAATTTTGGAGCTGGACTTGGTAAAGAAACAACATTTCCATTTTAGAACACAATAATTGTTTTAGGCAAGCACACTTTTAGATTTGTATGAAAAATTAAATGCCATGGATATTTTAAAAAATTTTAATCACAAAATTAAAATGTCACCAAACCATCACTACACATAAACACACACAAAACCTCCTCCTCACACAAACACATTTCAGTAAGAAAGGGGGGAAATCCCAATTTCCAACTGAATAACTTCTCTATTCATAAGGTCAGTAGTATTATACAGTAATACTACTATGTAGCATGTTTTTAAAAAGCCTTCATAAAGAATGTTTAATGAAGATACTAGCTGAAATCCTGTTGTTTATTTATATGTGTAGAAGGTAAATAATGTAACTTTCAGCTGCTTCTAGCTGGCAATTAATTAATCTCTGTTGGAATTACTGGGAACATGTGTACCAGCTGGCTTGGAACAGGCTTGAGATCACGGGGGGGGACTCATTAATTCCCAGCTGGAAGTGACTGAATGTTATGCCATTTGCCTACTGTATATGGAAGAAAGCAACAAGATTTCAAACAGCATCACTGTAAGACAGGGTGAAGAAAGTGCAGCTTGCAAGCACCCTTGGTCCCCTCTTCCCTAAGATTTTTTTTTTTAAAAAAAAGCATCACCACTAAAGGGCATATGAGGGTAATTTAAAAGATGTTTTGAGAAAAGTACTTCAGAAGTTAGTAAGTGATGGAGCAGATGCAGTGCTCCAGAGTCCAGAATGTTTGTGTGTAGACTGAGATCTCTAGATATTGCTTGTTTCAGAAAAGTCGAGAATTATATTCATTAAGTTGCATGAAATATAACTGGTCATTTCCAGCACCTTATTCCAGAGGCCAAAACTATTACCCTACTACTCAGACCTCTCAGCCACTCCATCCTTATATATTTGCCAATCATTCCGTTTTTTTTCAGAGAAGGAACAATATTTTAAAATTAAATAAGGTAGTGCCAGAAAAATCTTGCTAGAAACATCTTGTTTTTTGATCAACCATATCTGAGGATGATGTGTTAGCTATTATTAATAAAGCCACAGACAAAGTCAGGTTAAAACAGACTTTGAAATAACTTCATTTATTTTCCATGTGCTGCACAACATGGACAAAAATGTCACATCTTTTACAAATAACATAGGAAGACAGGAAACATTATTCAAAACAAATTATTACTCTCCAGAAAGCAAAAATCTTTCTGCCGTGCCTTAAACTGTGATTCCTCCAAAAATTATATTATGCTGTCCTATCCTGTGCTGCTATGTTACTAATGAATTACATAACTACCTAAACATGAAAGAAGTATTCATAGAGTGCAATGTCATCTGCATATGCGTAAGACTCTTATAGCATGATCTTATCTATGTTTATCTGAAATCTTATGTATGATTATTTCTATAATATAGAATAATAGAAATTGGTAAGGGCCTATAAGGCCATCAAGTCCAATCCCCTGCTCGATGCAGGAATGCAAATCAAAGGACATCTGCCAGGTGGTTGTCAAAGTTTCTCTTGAATGCCTCCAAGGTTAGAGCACTCACCACCTCTGATAATTGATTCCACTGTCTGACTACTCTAACATTTATGAAGTTCTTCCTGATATTCAACCGAATACTGTTGGTAAGGGCCTATAAGGCTATCAAGTCCAATCCCCTGCTCGATGCAGGAATGCAAATCAAAGGACATCTGCCAGGTGGTTGTCAAAGTTTCTCTTGAATGCCTCCAAGGTTAGAGCACTCACCACCTCTGATAATTGATTCCACTGTCTGACTACTCTAACATTTATGAAGTTCTTCCTGATATTCAACCGAATACTGACTTTCTATAACTTAAGCCCATTGTTGCGTGTCCTACACTTTGGGATGACCAAGAAAAAATCTTGGGGGTTACCACCAGAAAAAAATGTTGACATGATAGTAGTCTTAGTCAAGCACCAGGTCTGAAGAGAGAAGGACAGAAATGTACATTTCATACAGTATGTACAGCATGGGGGAGAGGGCAACTATATTGGAAGAATTGTTTTCTGAAACAGCAGTGTTCTAGGAAACAGTAACTAGCTTGCTGCCAGAAGAGGGCTCTCTCTCTCTCTCTCTCACACACACACACACACACACACACACACACATAAATCCCCCCTCCTTGAACAATAACAGAATTTTTTCACCCTATGGTATAATTGGCTATCGTGACATGAGACAGATGGTGACAAGAGAAACCCCATGAGATAATCATCAGATCAGTAATAGAATAATACAACTAACTGCACAGGTATTAATTTCAATAAGGATAATTGATGTATTCATGAATATTAAAAGGACAGAAAATAACATGAAGGTAATATATAAACTCCAATATGAGAAACTGCTTTTTAAAGTCTAAAATGTTGACTAGATTCTTAAAACATTCCACCTAGTATTACCCTAAATCAAAGAAAAGGTGAGCTCTGTCTTAAAAGGTTGATAGACCCTGCCTTTATTACACTAGTGAAGGATTTTTTTCCCCAGAGACCAGGACTTTCTGTTTCAAATTTCTTTACAAGGGTTGACATTAAACTTCTATGAAGGAGAATACAAGTGCTGACCTCAGCAGTCACTGCAAGAGAAAGAAATGTATGCCGACTGATGTCAGTGTAAGAAACCCAGTTCTCTTCTTTTGTAGGGTATGTTCTTTAAAGAAATCTATTGCTTTCTTCATCTCCTGTTTGAAAGACTGATTTTTTTTAAAAAAAGAAACTCAATCCAGTCAAAATTTTCACAAGTGATAGAAGTTGTCCCCCTGTCCCAAGGTGGCTAGTAATTGACTCCAGATCTTCCACAACCCAAGCTCCTCTCATTTGGTTATTACTTAATTCTGCTAGGGATGTAAACTGCACACTAAACGAGGAAGCTGTTTTCCCCCCTCTCTCATGATGAGTGGACAAGAATGTGGATTTTTGTTTATTTGTTTGTTTGTTTTGTCTGAATTAGACAACAGTCTGAATCAATATTCACAACATCCTCTGCTGATGCTTCCTTGACTAGGAGAAGGAGATGGCCTATACATGCAAGAAACAGACACGTACTGTTGGGAAAGCTTATGTTAGATTTTCTACTTTGCTGAAGATGACAGAATTTCATTCATGCTCAAAATGTTCTAAAACTGCTCAAAATGTTCTAAAACAACTCAGGTGCTACCTATGGTTTGTACTCAAGATTCTTGGCAAATTCCTTCTCTGTATGACAAACACATGTTTTATGATCATGGTAGTCATATGTTAAATGAGCAAATCCATTTTTAAAAAGGGCTTCTTTCTTTCTTTCTTTCTTTCTTTCGTTCTTTCTTTCTTTCTTTCTTTCTTTCTTTCTTTTCCATTTAAAAAAACCAACCCAGCAACCTCTACAGCTTGGGAAAGGAAAATGTACAGTTCAGTGTGCACACAAAAATGGGTTCCTGAACAACCCTAAGCACCAGCGGGATGTGATCTGTTCCTATGTTTTACTGCATGCCCTACAGCTGTATAATTCCAGAGGATTACCTTAGAGCAAAATCCTGCATGTGTTTTGCTTTCAATTAAAACAATCCTAACCAAAAAGTGCCTTCATTTATAGACGTTATGTGTTCCACACTCAGCAGGTTGAAAACTGATACTAAACCCCAATAATCCTTCCTGCAGCCTATTAAAACACACTCTTCTACCCAACCATATGTTGTGAAAAGTTTTGTTTCTGCTTTTCTTGTTAACCAACAGGAAGACCTTACTCTTCCACTTCGCGCTGCTGGCAATTCAAGCAGCTTGGATGGCCACACCTACCCTACCCACACAAAAAAAGAGACAAAGCCAGTCACACATCACTGAAAAGAGTTTGTCCAATTTCCAACCCTGGTTCTGCTCAGTCAACTTTACTTATATCCTACTTTCCAATAATAATACTCTGCCCACTCATGGATTAAATTCACAAACCCCTTCAATTACTCTCTCTCTCTCTCTCTCTCTCTCTCCCTCCCTCTCTCTCTCTGTCTGTGTGACAGAGAGAGAGACAGAGAGAGAGAGAGACTACTAAAATCTCACTGCCTAGCCTTTGAATCTTGCAGCTCTTCATCAGACTGTCCATTACAGAGCATGGCGGGCGGGGAGGGGGGAATGGGTCCAAAATTGAGTTTGCAGCCTTCTGGCGTCAGCTAGAAGTAGCAGATTTCTCCTTAGGGGATACACTGCACTATCTTTCTCAGTCACTGCATACAGCATCTCTTTGGCGGGGAACAGAAGTGTGAACAAACACAGCAGACCACATATCAAGGAAGTTGTGAAGCATGTTTGTGAAAACTCCTCCTCCAAAATGCTCTGTTTCCAGCCAAACACAAGCTATGTGTTTCCATACAAGGCAATGGGAAAGATGCAGTGTAACTGCAAAACTCTTTTTTAAAATAATTGAGAAAGATAACTATAGAAAGTTGTCACCCACCTTTGTTTTGGGATTTTGTGCAAGGACAACACAGCATTTATTTGTTTGCTTGCTTGTTTTGTGTTGTTTTATAACACAGATAGCCTTCTCTCTCTTCTAGTAACACAGATCAGAAAATAAAGCAGATTCTCTCAAAAATTCAGTGAGCCAAAATAAAGTGCAAAAACAATAAATGAAGCCATGAAAATGCCATGTGCAAAGCAGAACCAAGCTTTCGGGCCTTTCTCAGGCATTCCTTGTATATAAGAAATCATTTTTATACCAGCGGTTCACAAATTTGGGTAGCGTAGATATTCTTGGATTGCAGTTCCCAGAAACGCGAGCTAACACATCTGGTGGA